TAAAGATCCGCCAAAGATGGGAGTGTTTGAATTTATTCAATGTGAACGAACACTAATATATCATAAAAGAGGGAGAAGACTTTGCTCCTAATTTATTCTGGTGATTGAGCTGTCGAAATTTGTGAATTTTGGATATCAGGCCTATCAACAAATATACAGCAAATTGGAAAAAAAATAATAAGGGATCACATTTTAACATAAAAAGATATTTCCACTCCTGAATTTATGTGACAATAAGATGTCAGTTTAAAAATGTGTCATTCACACGATGTTATACTTGAGTAACACGTGTTTGATGAGTTTTGCGGCAAATTGCTTAAGAATGTACGTCGTGTTAAAAAAGTAAGTGAAAAAATGGGAGCATACTTAGAAGTATCTTTAGTGAACACAAGAAAGTTTCAATATATCTGGCCAGAACTGATGATAAGACACTATGACGAGGCATATGAGCATGGACGAATGTTCCAGGACAATAGGGACTCTAGAAGCTGGCAAAACGCAACGCCATGTTGCAGAAAGTAGTAAACCTTTATGGAAATAAAATTTACAGGCATGAAATTGTCAATGAAGGGTTAATTCGAGACGTCCAAGGTGTAAGACAGTCCACGAGGACCCTTACTTGCCCAATGTTGCAAACGGGCACGGCTTCCAAAGGGCTTTAGCTTAATACTGAGCTTCAGAGAACGAAGGGTAGACGGATTTCTACTCAAACATTTCGAAACAGACTTCATGAAGCAAATCTCTCAAGGTTTAGCGACCAGTCGTACATCCTGTATTAAAATTAGAGTATTGCAGAAATCGACTACAAGGGCAACAAAATGCTAACAAAATAATAACGTCATTGGCGTTCCTGGTCTCTTCTCAGACGAGTCCCCACATTGTTTTGACTTCAATGGCAAAAAACCTGTTTGGAGAGCAAAGAGGAAAATTAAGATATGCAATTTTTTCATTTCTTAACATGACAGATTAAATGGAAGTTCTGTGATAAATTTGGCAGGCAAAACTAATATCCAGATTATTGAAGGCTACCTGGTAGGTTTGAAATACCGGGATGAGATTCTTAATCCTATTATTGTTAGACACACCGTAGATACTCATAGAGTCCGTATCGTAAACGAATAATTTGTAAGTGAAACAATTAAGCGTCTTAATTGGCCAAGTTGTTCTCCAAATCTTAACCCAATTGAACATGCATAGGGCATTTTCTAACGACGCATTTCAGCTTCTCCGACACTTCCCCAAACTTGACAGGACTTCAGGCAGCGTTGCAGGAGGAATGGCAGCAGATCCCGCAGGCTAGCCTTGCACGACTGATGGCTAGCATGGGTCGGCGCTATAGAGCCGTTATTGCCTTGTGGGGATGTCATTCAAATATTTTGACTCTTGAAAAAATCTGGTTTCATGTCTACACATAACATGGCGAATTTAAAAGTGACTTGGATGAACAATTCGTAACATGTGTTCAAACAAACTTATAACATCCAATGTTTAATTATCATTTAAAAATATGACACTAAAATTAAAAATGCATTCTTTTTTCTATGGTAAGGTATAATATATTATGTTTAACACAATCATTTTTTTTTAATTGGGAGTCTTTTATCAATTTTATTTATCCATTTAGAACATAATCCGTGACTATATTAAGTAAAGAAAAAGATAAGTGCACATAATATGAAATATTCCTTAAAAAGTTGTCCATCCAAACATCTAAAATCCCCCTGTTATATACTGTAATGATAGATGTGTCTTTATTGTAGCATTTTAACATAACATTGTATTAAAATGAGGGACAAGAAAACATGTATTTCAAAGAGCAATTACAGTCCCCATTACTGCTTAGAAACATTATGTGTTTGTGAAACGCTGATATCCCTGTATGGTACCCCCAGTATACTGTAGTTTCTCAAATGCAAGTCACACTTTCAGATCAAGAGATCAAAATCTGTTAGTACCCAAAGAAATGTCTTGTCACAAAGAATATAAAATTATATAAATATGAAAAACTAGCCAAGTTGTTCATAGTTAAGCCCAAGGTTAAAGTTTTTTTAAAAAAGCGGACCAAACTATAAGGTCAAGGACAGATGATGAAATTTATTCTCGATTGCAAAACAAATGCCAATGGTATACTGTAATTTTTCCTCAATGCATGTTTAGCAGGTGGTTCTGTACAGATTGTTACGACCCAACGAAGATCCCAGTAAAGGCCTCTCTGCGAAAAACCCTTCTTCTGACGTAACTGTAGAAGATCACGTGACACATGGATCCCGAGGACCTGCTTCACGATTTATTTCGTGTTGTAAATCACATTCAGCTATTGAAAGATTCGTGGCTAACACCTGGACTTCCCCGATAAGGATTGTTCAAATTGTTATCGATGAACAAGATTCAGGGATCAGTGAAATTATTGATCTGACAGATCAAAAAATCGTGGACGTATATTTTGGGAAGGACAACGACAGAGGCAGAAATTTTGCCTCCTGGGCCGAAGAAGTTTTAGTTGTCGGTAGAATTCCTCCAGAGTGTATTTTAGAAATTTGGGAATAAAGTGATATATCGGTTTTATTTTCCCACAATTTACTTGACCAGCTTTGTTTAGGAATCACATTAATTTTATTTGATAAAAACTCGTATAAAGATAATATGTTTAATATGTTTTTAATATTTTTGTTAGTGAAATAAAATTGTGTTTAACTTTATTATATTTTCTAATACTAGTATATACATGTAGGTTATTACATTTCACACATTTTTATATTCAATGTGATATTTTCTTATTGTTAACTCTACACTGTATACATCATTACTTTATTATGTTGACGAGTTATTACTGATTTTATCCTTTTCATGCATTTTTATTATAATTGTATTTCTGTTATACGTTTTTGAAATACTTTGAGCTGAAAGAACATATTTTTTTTTGTTTTATTGTGACTATGAATTTTTTGCAATTTCACTGATAGTATAAACTTTAAACAATATTTATGGAATTCATATCCAACAACATGTACTTGTATTTTGTAGCTCTTCATTTTAGATTTCTCGAATTTAGTTGAATTTTTTTTTATTAAAAAGATTGTATTAAAAACTTACATGTATGTTGGATATTATAGTACCATTAGAATAGCATTGAAATGGTTGTAAGAATGGAACATATTTACGTTAATGTGTAATTTACACCGGTATTTATCGATATATCATGATAGAAATAACTGATACAGGTATATTAATTCACTTTTAAACAATTCCTCATTTTGCATTTACTTCATGCTTTATAAATCTGTTCATCGGATATCCAGGAAAAAAGATTGGTTGAGAAGTATTGAAATTGACACACGCTTATAGTTTGCTTCAATGAAATAAAAATGATTGTTAAATTGTTTCGAATATTTACATCACAAAATATAGATGCTTCAACGAAGCCTTTAAATGAAAATCATTTCATTATTTTTTTTTGTTGATAGTCAAATTAAAAGTGATAATAAAAAAAGCAAGTTCATTCAACCATTCAAAAAAAACCAAAACAGTATATGACTGATTAAACAATTCAAACATAGTAACCTCTTTTAAATAAAAGTACACGTATATTAAGATTGACGTTTAGAAACTGTATGATAACTTTGGATTAAAAAAAACTTTTGAAAGCGTAAAACTCGTGTAAAACTTAGTAAACACTATGCTGTATATACTCCTTATGGGAAAGGTCCTCATTATGTTGAGGTGTTGAGGTGCATAGTTTTTCATTATGTGCTGTGATTATTTCATAATTATTTCATAATGATCAGGTCATATTACAAATATATGCTTTTGTTTCTTCATTATGTTGCCATTTTGTATTAATTAAGTGTAATGGTTATTTCAAGAAAATAAGGTAGGATTGCATTGTTTGCTGCGAGTTTTTCAATTTGAAAAGTTTCTTGCTCATTATATGATGTGAGCTCTTTACTATGCTGTACTTTTGCCATTAAATGTTATGGGTATTTAATGTTACATTCACCTCATACACATTGAAGTACATGTATCCATAGCATGATTAAAAAGAACAAAATAAAAACACACACACATAAGAAAATTTGGAACGCCGACGAAAGCAATCAGAACATTCCCATGTTAATGTAGACTAGTACTGGAGTACATTGTGGGTCGAATGAGCACTAACCGCAGCACCATTACAGTTTTGGCTAATGTAAATGCTTCTGGCGAAGAGATGCCATTCATGCCAGTCGTCGAAGGCAAAACCAAAAAAAGTCGTCTTTTAGATACAACACAACGGAAGTCCCAGAAAATATAATGTTGACTTTCGATGACTGTCCATAGATGGATAAGGAGTTGGGCAATGTTGTATAATTGATGTATTTCTTCCCAAATGCAGGACGAACGTCCCGAACTCTTCATCCTTGCGAGGCATGTATCTCATAAGATGCTTGGTTTATTGGAGCTTGCAGAACATGAAGACATTTAAGTTCTTACACTGCCTCTTTATACAACCTTTTTTCTCCAGCTGTTTAATCGTCGGGAAAAGCCTAAAAGGCGACCTCAACGGCTTCTCACAAGCTCAGCAATAATACAGAGGGAAAAGAGAGAGCTTTGAGAAACACAAAACAAAAATTTTAAGAACAGAAACAAGTGCAAAAGAGGAGAAGAGAGGAGAAACAGTATTAAGGAAAACAATGAAAAAACATGAAAACCTGATGTTTATTGAAACAACAGTTCCTTAAATTAACAAAAACAAACAAAAATATATACACGTGTTTCCGGCATTGATTTATTTACCAAAATTTAATTATATCTATTTATATGAAGAAATAAAATTAGTTAATGATGATATATATATACATGTTGTATATATGTATGTAAAAAAAATCGCTATTTTAATTTTATAGCAAAACACATGAAAACAAAACTGAAACTCTCATCTGAGAACGAAAATAAAAAAGAAACCAAGATGCTTCTTTTTTTTCCAGAAAGGAACATTCCCATTTCATTTTCAGAATTTGTGTTATTTACGCCAGCTAAATGACAACGGTGAGTATTTAATATTAGAGATCTGGTTAAAAAATTATATTATGACAATAATTTCTTCTTTCATAAGGATCTTAGAAAATGGGAAATCCCTATTGAAAACTACATTATTGAAATTATGTTAAACTAACTTATTTGTTAGTAGTTTGACCCGGTAGAAAAATTAAAAATAAAGAATATGGTCCCGCATGAAAATTAAGTATAGAGACAAAAACACCATATACAGGTGATTAAGAATAACTAATTTAGTTAGAGAAAATATGAATTCATAATGTTCATCCAGCTTAGTTGTTAGTTTGCAATTGACATCTATTGAAAATAAAACATCCTCTCTCTCTCTCTCTCGTAATTCCATATACGTATCCCAGTTTTCCATATTGGTTTTAAACATTTATCAATCTCAATTTGGACATTAGCAGAAACATTAACTGGTAAACTTTCAAAATCTCTGTACAATTGTTGTATTCTGTATTTTATCATTGGATTTAGATGCAGTTTATTAAGAATTTCAGTGTCAAGAACATAAAGGCATTTATCCAGATTCAATGAGTTTCCGGAACTATAGTTCTGCAATGCAGGATTAGTTTTTAAAATTTACATCTGATTATTCCTTCAACAATGTCCAAAGAGCTTCGTAAAGGGCATCAATGACTTCAACCTTTAAAAATTCTATACTCTGATGCATGAAGATAATGTAAGAAAGTGAGAATGTATAGAAATCAAGTCATACCATAGTCAACTTTATTGAGCTCAGAACTTCATTCCTATCATGTAGATCCTCTCGCAGTTTTCTAACTTCTTTAATGTTCTGATTTTTTTAACTCAGAAAAGTCCTAAGCACATTGTGCAGTTATAAATATTTCATATTATCAATTAGGAAATCAAAAATTAACTGTGAGTGTTAAGAATTTGAAGAAATGTTTGTTTCATTTGGTTGATATTGTGATCTTTTACGAACTCTTGCTATAGCTATTTTCAGAAAGTATTTTCTTTGAGAATTTTCTCGATATATGTGAAAATATCAATCTTATTCAACAGATAAACTACAATAAGTCTTTGTTAATTATAATTTCCTTTGGATTGGAACATTTCAATTTCTATAAATTTTTCAGCTTTTGTAAGCATTCATTGTGAAATGTCTATATAATGTTGAATAAAATCTCTTAATTATGTCCAATCTTTCCTTTAGGAAATGTTTTACAGATTATTGCGACCTGATGAGGATCCTACTTTAGGCCTCTTTGCGAAAAACCAATTTTCTGACGTCATCAGTGTCGAAGATCATGTGACTAATAGATCACAAGCGGGATACGCTTCGCGATACATTTCCTGTTGCAAGACATGGGATGCAGTCAGAGATTTTGCTGCTAATACGTATACAAGTCCAAAAAGGATTGTACAGACAACCATAAAATATCCAACAATCCAAACAATAGATTTGACGGATCCAAATAATCAACTCCTTTATTTCCCACACAACCAAAGAGCAATAAATAATGTCAATCGTTTTCAGGAGGTGTTGATCCTGGACCACGTTCCTCCAGATTGCATTTCCAACATCATGGTTTTACCCTTATAAAGCCGACTTACATGCAATATTTGGCACTAACGTTATAGAAGATTTGCCATACTTTTTGTCATGTTTCGATTTGCAATGTGTTGTAACTTAATTATGAAATAATCATTAAATTTTGTATTTAGTTTTTGCAAGTGACAAAACAATTATGACGCAATTTATTATGACACAGTGTAAACGTTTTAAACGACTGGAAATAATGATTATTGTCATTTAAAATAATACTTTGTATAATGTTCAAAATACTGATGATTAAATGGTCATTGTAATAAAATACATGTACATGCATGTTGAAATAAATATCATTTTAATAAATTAATAACTAACGCACGTGCAATGTTAATTTTAGTCCTTATACTATTTAGCTAGTGTTCTTATTAAACTTTGATGTACGTAAATGCTTTGTGCAATGCTATATTGTTTTATGAAGGAACTTTAACATTGAAATTAATATAAAAATCTTTGAGAACATTTTCAAATTGAAACGGGTATAATTATTACTGGATTAAGATCCAACTCCTCAATATTTGTATAATTTGATCGAACCTTATCGTCCACGAAATCCTTCCTTTAACCTCAGAACTAATGATGCAGAATTAGATTTCCTCCAATTAGAACTAAATTATATTATACAAGGAAGGTTTCCTTACATCAACAGTAAAACAGTGGAATGCCTTGCCTGACGCATTTTCCTCGAATTCAAAATCAAATTTTGTATTTTGTAAACTCTGAATTATTGGTAACAGGTGGTTCTGTCCAGACTTTTAAGACTGGACGAAGATCTGAATGAAGGCCTCTTTGCGAAACACCCATTTTCTAACGTCAGTGTAGAAGATCACGTGAATTATGGGTCTGGAGGATCTGAATCACGAATTATTTCGTGCTGCTAGTCATATTCAGCAATTCGAAGATTTGTTGCTTATACGTGCACATTTCTGATAAGGATTGTACAAATTGATATTAATGAAGGAGACCCAGGGATTATTGAAATCATCGATCTGACAGATCCGGAAACCGTGGACACATATTTTGAGAAAGACAACGAGAGAGGAAGAAATTTTGTGTCAGGGGCCGAGGAGGTTTTAGTTGTCAGCACAATTCGACCAGAATGCATATTAAAACTATACCAGTGAAGATAAATGTAGAACATATTAAAGAGAAACTCAGTTTACATCACATTGATTTGATAAAAAGAATTCTTAGCTAAAAGCTATTATAATATATACTTGTATGTTTTTCTTAGTATTTTTATTGTTGGTGAATTGCAATGTGATTTTAACTTTATTATATTCTCTGATTTATAGTTTATTCATCTTGTTTGTAAGGAAGCAACTTTTATAACTTATTATAAAAATGTTGAAAAAAAAACCCAATGCATGCAATTGAAAATGTGCATTCTTTATCCTTAGGCGGGGACACAGATTATTATCTTGTCAGTGGAAAATTTGTAATAATATTCAGGTGGATCAATTAATATTTGGGTTATGTATTGAATACCAAACCATTAATAAATATATAATAAACTCAATAAAAAATTTGATACTTTTTATTTTCATTTCCTTAACAAATATTTAATCCACGAATGAAAAATGAAAAACGAAATAACATTATACATTGCTTATTTTTTTAAAAGAACTTTTGCATAACATATTGGGTGTCTAATTTAGTCTTTTCTAAACAATCAATAGGTATCGGAATTTCCTTAGGACATGGGTATTTGTAGAATAAAATTGCACTGCAAAGCTCAAATGCTTTTCGAGATATCAATAGGAAATGAGAGTGTTAAAATAGAAAGAATTAATAATTCGATGACGTAGACTTTTGACCATTAAAAATCAATATTCAATGGGGTCTTCTTTAGGCCATAGGGGTTTGGTATGTATAATTTATTGCAAACTCTCAAAGGCTTCTCAAGCTATCTTGCGGAAATGAGAGTTAAAGACAGGCAGCTAGAAAGACTGACAGACAAACCGAAATTAATATCAACACTTTCAGTGGAAGCTGGGAACAACAATGATGATTGAGTACTATTCTTTTTTATCTTTTTATTTCGGGTATTAAAATGATAAAATTGAATATAGATTAAATTGTCAATGCAAGAAAATGCATTACTGATATAGTCCCATTGAATCCTAGAGGTTAACCTAGAAACAGGTTTCAATTTCATTTAATATAAACGTTTTATGTATCTACATAGTAACAGTCATAGAAACCTCTTCCGAAAGCCTTTATCATGTTTATGTAGCCTGAGAAGAGCTTGGTACATCCCACTATAAAAACAACCTGTTGAAGGTGGTAAAGCTTTACAACAAATAATGTAATCTTATAAAGATTATAAATTCTGCACGATAACTGTTTTGCAAGCACAAAGAACAAATAAAAAATAGATCGACGAGAAGATATTCAGACATGCGCAGAAGCTGTAGAAGAATTGCTGCGCTAAAAGACAGCTGTATGTAAGTAGGAATGGATGTTTTTTTTTTTATCATATTATGTTTATTTTAATTATGAAGAGGTACCTGGTGTTGATGAAAATTAAAAGAAAGAAATATTCATGATTAATCCATTTGTACTAAGAGTCAATTAGTGTATTCTTAAGGTAATTTACAAGTTATAATGCTTTATAGAAATTTATACCGTAAATCTGGAAATTTTTACGTCGATTTTATTTTGCGAATTCGGGTCAAAATGGTGTTGATTAATTTTTACGTTTCAAAATTTTGCGAATTTCCACTGCTTTGTTTACATTTTCTTATTGGTAATTTATTTTTAAGAAAAATATTTTTGCGAATGCAATGAACTCGCAAATTTGCTAAAAATTTATCTACAGCAAAAATTTCCAGATTTACGGTATGTGTGTTGTAAAATGTACCTGTATTAAATAGATATGTCATTCATCCAGTTTTGATGGATAATAATGATATAAACATGTAATTTTTAAAACAAATAGATTGGTTGAATATTTTCTCTCCAAACCTTTTCAAAAAAGACATTTTACACTAATGACAAAATGAAAACGAAGCCAAAATTTTCTTGTATTTAATTTCAGAAACAGTGTTTACGCGGCTAAACAAGTATGATGAGGTGTGTTTATAATTTATTATCCTATTTTAGGAATTTTCGACATTAAAAAAATATAGTCAAACTGTAGTTGGGACTCATATCACCTTCTCCCCCTCAGGCCTTTACAAACAATCAAATTCATTGGTCGAAGAAATGTTATTACAAAGACATGGATTGAGAAAAGACGCTATTTAAGTATAATTGAACTTGTAGAAAGCTTAATTAAGGTATTCGATGTATAATGAAGGGATTTTGAACGAATTTAAATAATTTTAAACTACTTAAAAACGGATTACTAGATAACGATATAAGTGACATGAACCAAATTCACAAGGTAAGGAGAACGTCACTTTGCACATTGAAAGATTTTGAAGAGTTATCTGCCCTTAATCAAAATAAGAAAATTTTTGATTTCTCAAAATTTCTGCGGTAAATAATTCATTTTATGTTATACTTTAATAAAGAGAGAGTTTATGCATATTTTCACCAAGAGATTTATAAGAAATTCAAATTACTTTTTACAATATCTTATAAAAGCATGCACTGCCCAAAGACTTCAATGTAAAATTCAATGTGAAATTATTTGGACATTAATCAAAATTTTGCCTTTGGTGGAGCATTTTGTATATACAATATTTGTATAATTTGATCGAACCTTATCGTCCATCAAATCCTTCCGTTAACCTCAGAACTAATGATATAGAATTAAATTTCCTCCAATTAGAACTAAATTATACAAGGAAAGTTGCATTACATCAAGTGATCAACAGTTAAACAGTGGAATGCCTTGCCTGACGCATTTTCCTCGAATTCAAAATGAAAGAGAAACAAAAAATCATTTCATCAAAGAAAAGAAGACAACAATTTATCATATAGTTGGGGTTCATATTAAAAACGCTATTTTCCTTCCTGCCTTTACAAACAACTTCGTCAAGGAAATGTCATTATGAATGACGGTGATTGAGAAACGAACGATGAGAGTTTAATATAATTGAATTTGTAAAAGAGTTTAATAAAAAAAGACAGGGCCATAAGTTAAGATTTCTTTGCTGTTTTTTTTAAAGCAATGTACGTGTTATATATGAACCCCTCTTTTTCCTGTCTCACATTATTCTAAGTTTTCTTCAGCAGTTCGACATTTATTTATTTTCTGAAGAAAAAAACTACTCTTTGTTTCGCTTTATGACCCATCTCTAAGATAAGCGCCATATTAAATTGAAATTCCCCAATTCTAAAAATAGAAGGATAGGTAAAGACTTATTTCTATTTTAAATAGAAGTTATTCAGCCGCTAACAGTAACCAAACGCAGTTGAATAAAAATGGTGAGTTATATCAATTCAAATATTAATCACTTTATCACTATTGAAATATGCTTTATTTTATTTATCTTATAATGAAGAATCAATGACAAAAGAAGAAAATGGACATGTTTTTTATGTGAACGAAGAAATCATTATAAACTTTGTCCCCTCCTGTAAAAAAATTCGTCAAGCAAATGTCATTACAAATGACATGGATTGAGAAACGATGAGAATTTAGTATAATTACACTTGTAGAAAAGTTTAATAGAAAAAGAAAAAGACCATAACTTAAGATTTATTTGTATTTCGTACTTTTGTGTGTGTATTTTTTAAATCAGGAAAGATCTAAGCACATTGTACAGTTACAAATATTTCATCCCAGATAGCAGGATGTTATTGGACCTTTGTTGGGCCAACAATGCTCCTTATGTTGGGCCACCGTTTGCATTCAACATTGGACCATCGGTAATTTGCTCATCGGCCCTTAATCAAACCAACTTGTTGGCTTATTGTTGGGCCAATGTAACAGTTAATATTGGGCCACTGTTGGGCTAATGTATTATTTCAATATTGGGCAAACGTCATTTTTGTACAATTGGGCCATTGTAAGCAGTTAATGTTGGGCCAACGGTAATTTGCTCATCGGCCCTTAATCAAACCAACTTGTTGGCTTATTGTTGGGCCAATGTAACAGTTAATATTGGGCCACTGTCGGGCCAATGTATTTTTTCAATGTTGGGCAAACGTCATTTTTGTACATTTGGGCCATTGTAAGCACTTAATGTTGGGCCAACGGTAATTTGCTCATCGGCCCTTAATCAGACCAACTTGTTGGCTTATTGCTGGACCAACGAACGGATATTATTGAGCCATTGTTGGGCCACTTATTCTTTCAATATCAGGCAAACGTCATTTTTGGGCCAACGTTGGTTTGTATCTTATTGGCTCTCCATCATGACAACTCATTTGCTCTTCACTGGTTGACCATTCGTCCTCAAAATTGACAAACAAATACATATATTAAGGTTATACTAGTTTTGTAGTACAGTTTAATGGTAAAAGCCCTTTAATACTAGCTATATATGCTAGATTAATAGTTTAATACATATTCTCAATATATATCTCATAGCATTAATTAAAAAACTGAGGAAAAAGAAATCAAAATATAAAATTAAATTATAACATACTAGTATTTTATTGCTCAGTGCATGAAGAAAACATTAATAAAGAAATAAAAGTTGATGCTCACTTCAAGCGATACATGTAGGGTTACATGACTGTATACTCCCTCTCTGATGTAAATTTATGCACAAGTTCAGTAAATTGCTGGTATCAATAAGCAGGTCCAACAAATAAACAATGCCCCCCTGTTCTTAAAATAATACTACAATGAATCCCGTCATTTTGTTTACTTACACAAAAAATGTTTCTGGTATCTGCATCGTGTTTGTAACCGACAAACAGACACAAAAAACGATAGAACTACAGGTTTGTCACAGTATATAACAGAAAAAAGCTAGACACTGCCACTTTCCATCTGATCCCTCTCCTAAGTCTTCTCTTCTCTCTCCCGAGTCTCCTCCTCCCCCTTCTTTTCTTCTCTGTCCGTTTCTTCTTCCCCCATCCCTGTCCTTGGCATACCTTAGCCATTCTTTGATTGTGTTCTGAATGTCTTTTTAGAATCTCTAGTAGCACTAAAATTGTAGTATTTGGTACTTAATACATTTGTTACTTTTCTCAGTAAAGAGTAAACATACGATTAAATTTACAAGTATATCACTATATGTTTAAGTTGTCAATTAAGGAATAACCGTCTTTTTTGTTTCATGGTGTGATTAAGTGATTAGCTTGCATGATGAAGGCATTTATGCATAACATTTCTACGCTTGATCATCATCATCATCACAACGATTTTGATTCAATGTTGCCCCATATAAAATACATGTATAGAAAATTCGTTACACTGAACAAATTTTAATTGAAAGAACCCAATTTATGTTTAGTACTGAATAAATTTAGTTTTAACTTCAACAAGTTCAACATTTTCAAAATGTTTGATCATGTGCCCGACGTTAAGTGTATATAAGTAAATTAAGTGGTAGACTTCGGAAATGTATTTTACTAGTCACACATTTCAATCTAAATAAGGGGCAAATTATTTATTGTTTTAACTGTATCAAAACACATTTGTTATTTTATACTTTATTTTTCTTGTATAAAAACAAAACATTTCATCACTGATAATTTATTTTGTTTTGATAAATTATAAGAATTTTAACAAGCCTTGTAAATTCATTTTAGCTAGCTTGTACTTTCAAGTAGGATTGGTTGTAGATTTATTTTTGATTGTAGAGACGATCAGATTTGTTAATACTGTAAAATCACACATTTTCGTGGGGTCAAATTTTCGTGGTTTGAGGAAAAAATGCTGGTTCATGGGGATTTGATTTCTTGGGTGAAGAACTTATAAGTAGTTGTGCATATGGAAATTTACATTTCATGGTGGACATAAATTCGTGGGTCTCTTCATACCACGAAAACAACGAAAATTAAACCCTCACGAAAATTAGTGATTTCACAGTATACAGATTTGTAACAATTAAATGTTTATACACATTGGCCCAATGTTGGTCCAAATATCGGGCCAACTTTGGGCCTAGAAGCAAAATGACACTGGACCCACGTCATTTGCCAACATCGGCCCAATGTTCCTATTGACGTTGGTCAAACAATGTCGCATTTATCGAGCCAATGTTGGCGCGACGTTGGGCCAATATCTGTAGAAATAACACTCTACACTGGGCCAACGTTGGCCCAACACATCGGGCCAACATTGGGCCGATGAGCAAACTTAAATTGGGTCAATGTCATTTGCCAACATTGGCCCGATGTAACCGATTACATTGGCCAAACGTTGGCCCAATGTTATCATGCCATCTGGGGTACAGTGTTGACCCAACAGCACCTGGCCTCTGCACTTCCCCGTGTCTGCTTTGCGCAGATTTGTACATGATATTGTTTAAAAACTAAACATTAATTCAGCTGTGCCGAGGCAAACATATTATAAATACTTACAAAGTGGTTGCAGATATGCAAGGTATCAGTCTCATTACGCTCGCTCGTGTCAGATTAAAAATGGCGCGGATATATACAAGTAGCCCGGTTGTTGTCTTCCCATGATGCTCAGTCAGCTTCATGGTATATTGGGCCAACGTTGGGCCGATGCCAATCCCCAAACAAATATTTTCTCTCATGATAATAATTTTATGATATAATGCGAACAGTTAGCCTAACATTAGCGCACCATTATACATAACCAGCTATCGATATTCCATGTTGGGCCATTGTTGGCCCAATAAAGGTAACCCAACATAGATAATACAACCATAATGTAAGATTGGGCCAACGATGTTCTGCTATCTGGTTTATTACAAATAAATATAAATATACAATTTTATAATTAGCTGCTGAGCTTTACGTTGGGACAACGTTGGCACATTCTGATCATACTTTCTATGTCCATGCTTATCATTGGATGACTGCTCTTGTTTAGATATGATATTTTCAACATTTTAACTTTGCACTTAGGTGATCACAGCACCAAAGAGTGTTTTATTCTATTTTTTGAATTGTGTTTATGCTTGACACCATCAATTAATTGGCAGTATAATAAATGGGCCTACGTTGGCCCTATATAAATATCCCATCTTTTAAACACCTAAACAAAATAACACTTGTGTGTATTACAAACATTGTGCCAATGTTGAGCCAACATACTACTACCAACTTGATAGGACACGTTCTTTAAAGGTGTATTAGAAACAATGGGCCAACGTTGGACCAACATAATACTATCAACTTGATAAGACATTTTCTTTAAGGGTGTATTAGAAACATCGGGCTAACGTTGGGCCAACATACTACTTGAACTTGATAAGGCACTTTCTTAAAGGGTGTATTACAAACAATGGGCCAACGTTGGGCCAACATAATACTACCAACTTGATACGACATTTTCTTTAAGGGTGTATTACTAACAATGGGCCAACGTTGGGCCAACATATTACTACCAACTTGATAAGACACATTCTTTAAGGGTGTATTACAAACTTCGGGCCAACGTTGGGCCAACATACTACTACCAACTTGTAAATACACTTTTCTTTAAGGGTGTATTATAAACATTGGTCCAACGTTGGACCAACACCAGGGTCCTTCCTTCCTTGGGAACTAAACTGAATGGAAGTTGCTTACGTTGGACCAACGTTGGGCCAACATAGGAATTTTGTCATGGTCAAGAAGGTTGACTTGGTAACATTGGTCCAATGTTGGCCCAAGGTTGTTCCCCCAACGCCAACCATACAACCTTTTACATATGTTGGCCCAACATAGTCATGCTATCTGGGATATCATCAATAAGAAATTTCAAAAATTAATTGTGAGTGTCAAGAATTTGGAGAATGTTTGTTTAACATTTCTGGTTAATGTTGATGATGGGATGCATTTCTATTTTTAGAAAATACTTTCTTTTAGACTTTTCTTGAGAGAATATTGGTATGTAAATCTTAAAATATCACTTCTATTAAGGATGAATTACAATATGCATCGATGAAATTATAAATGATATTTCTGTTGAAAGATTGGAACATTTCAAGTGGTTTAACTTTTGCATTTTTGTAAGCATCAATTGTGAAATGTGTGCGTAGTGTTTCATAAAATATCTTAATCATCCAATCCGTCCTATAGGAAATGTATTACAGATTTTTACAACCTGACGAGAACCCTACCTTAGGTCCACAGGCACTTGTTTCGGTAATACATTTTTAACCAATACATAATAATAATAATAACACAAGGTATCCAACTCCGAATTACACTCAGTACCCCCTCCTCAGAAACGCACTCATTTACACTTTCAGATGAAATGCACTGGCAAACTTTTTATTACCAGTGTCTTCAACGATAATCTACCTACACAACCATATATGGCACGCATCTCTCTGTTTTCATTTAAATCCGTAAACAGCGTCAAAACTCTGCCCGCCGATTGGAAAGTCCGACTAAACCATGAAACGGTATGTGCTGATCCAGCACGAAGATTTTGATTGGCTAAAATCTGTATCTAAAATTACAACGAAAAAATGTCGTACTGTTTTTACGAAAAATGACACGTTATCAAATTTTATTTATTCAATGCAATATTTTTAAATCTGGAATTGAATTTTTTTTAACTCACTCATTTTTAAATTTTGCTCTTTGCCCGAGATTAGACTGGCTTGCCTGTCTGATCTCTTCGATATACAGTCGTTTCGTACGAATGAGACAGGAACTCCAGTCTATGCCCGAGATTAGCACATACCGTCTGAAATGGCCGAACTGTTCCGAGTTGTTACGTATAATAAAAATCAATGCTAATTTAGTATTTCCACGAATGAAATAGAAAAACGAAACTAAATTTCATTTTAATTTTAGTCTGAGAACATCTGAAAGAAAATGGTGAGTTTTAAATCATATTATAAATTGTATTGCTAGTACTAAAATTCGATCTTTTAATCATCTATTGGAATTGGCAGGATATACTTGATACATAATAGAAAAACGTAAAAAGGGGTGGGATGAGACATTGCTTGCTTGTGAATTTTCAACATCTAAGCCATATTAACAATCGTTATAGTTTTTTTTCATTTACCATATTTCTATTATACCCCTGGTTGAAATGTAGGGGTGTATATTGTGAGTTCCATTTTTCTACTGTATGTACATATGCCCGTAGCACTTGGGGTAGCTTTACTTATGTGCAACATGTCTTATACCACTACATGTAATTGCAATTAGATGAATTTTGCACTAAATATTTTTGAATAGTATTTATTAAACATCTCCTTTTTTCCATTTCGATCGAACCGATATTTTCCTTGGCAGAAATTCTTTCTATAATATCTGGGGTACTCATCTCTATCTGTAACTCTTTCTATATCAGTAAATAGAATTAAAGAATTTAAGGACCCTCTCTATACAAGTGCAAATTTTTTTTGGACATTGAGAAAAATAAATTATATTGTACAAAGGACTTAATATTGTGCTTATTTATTTAATTTTCACTATATGGTGCGTGGCATTTACCACCGGGAAAAATGTTCAAAGACAACATAGTGTCAGTGACTAGAAATCACTGTTAATTACTTCAGTAGAGAAAATAAATGTAAATAACACGTTCAGTTAATTTATCTTCGTCTTTTAAAATGTTAAGAATATTTGGATTAATTACAAATCGATTAATATATTTGTGATTTTCTATTTTTTAGAAGTTAGATTTAAGGGCAGATTACTCTAACTGCAGAAAAATACCTTAGAATCAGAACTCTTTAGTGTGCAGTGTAGAGAGGGATCTTGAGACCTTCACAGGGTCTTTTAACTTAGTGCCATTGTATATCTCGTCTTATTCTAATTTTTGATAAAAAAGAGAGACACTTCATTGTCATTCTTTCTATAAAAGATGCATAAGCTGCCATGACTGGGCATGAGTGTTTCACAAATCTTGTTGTATTTTGTAAACTCTCAATTATTGGTAACAGGTCGTTCTGTACAGACTTTTAAGACCGGGTGAAGATCCAAGTGTAGGCCTCTATCCGAAAGACCCTCTTTCTCACGTCACTGTAGAAGACCACGTGACCTATGGATCTGGAGGATCTGAATCACGATTTATTTCATGCTGCAAGTCAGAATCAGCAATTCAAAGATTTGTTGCTAAAACGTGGGCATCGTCGATAAGGATTGTACAAATTGATATCGATGAAGGAGACCCAGAGATTATTGAAATCATCGATTTGACAGATCCAGAAACCGTGGACGCATATTTTCAGAAAGACAACGAGAAAGGAAGAAATTTTGCGTCATGGGCTGAGGAAGTTTTAGTTGTCGGCAAAATTCGACCAGAATGCATAACAGAACTATAAGAGTGAAGAAATATGTAGAACATATTGTAGAGGAACTCAGTTTACATGAGCTACGACTTCTTTGTTTTTGAATTACATTGATTTGATAAAGATAATTTTTAGTAAAAAAAAAAACTATATAAAAAAATGTAGGTTTTCTAAGTATTTTTTATTGTTGGGGAATTGCAATGTGATATTATATTTGCTATATTTTCTGATATATCCGTTTTTCATCTTCGGTTGTGAAGAGGTAAATTTTATAACTTTTATTATACCAATGTTTTAAAAAAAGCCAATGCATGCAATTGAAAATGTGTATTTTTTATGGTTCATGTGAAATTTTATAAGTAAATTATATATACATAATTCTTTATTTTGTTGATGAATAATTGCTGACTTTAATAACTTTCTGTATTTTGATTTTTCTTGTATTTCTGTGAAATTCAAAAGTGCATATCTTTTTTTTTTAGTAAATACAAGGAGCTAGAGAAAACATCGTCTTTAATTTTTTTGTGACTATAAAACTATTGTTACTTCAAGAAAAGTGTAAAATCTGAATATTTCTTTAGGCTATTTGTCAACTACTTTGCATTATATGCCATGAGTTCTCGATGTATGATGTACTTTTGCCATTTAAATTCATCAAAGGTCAAGTGGAACGATTCTCGCTTAGCATGCGAGAGCCCACTGGTTTAATTCCAGATAATTCTTTTTATCGCGATTTTTTTTTAATTTACTACATGATAATATATAGCACATGGAATAAAAAAGTTATGAGCTATGGCGTGTACAAACTATCATTACATGTACATCTACATTGCTTATTAGAGAGGTTTAGTTACACGTTTTGCGACGAACTTGTACGGATGACGTCATCAATTGTTGAGGTCTTCGACGTCATGACGTCAAATCCGACGTGTAGCTACAAGTTTAGAACGTGTAATACACTGTCTACACGTACGACGTAAACGGGTAAAGTTATGGATTACATTCTTTATTTTTTGATGCAGTTGATTAATTTTTGTGCAATTAAACAAGAACACTTGTCTTGATTTCATCGTAGTATTAGTATTTTTATCAATGAAACGTTAAACTCAAACTGAAACCAAACAGCATGTTTGATACAGTTTGTACGCAGGATTCATTTGAAGAAGACCCCGTCCGCCAATGCACCAAATAAAAAATTATAGTTTCATGGTGATTTTTCCCTTTCTGTTATTTTTATTAAAACCTTTTTTAAAACCCCTATATTCTTTATTTTTTTATAATAAAATATTTCAAACTATTATATAACATCCACAGGCACTAGTGACATGACAAAAAATATAAACCCTCGCCTAATTAGTTATAGGTAGTAGGCCTATGTGTAACGTCAAGTGCATGTTAAGATTGTATTTCATTAACTATTTTTTTCTTTTGTACTATCAGATGTAAAGATCTAGAGCAGATGCGTATTTCAAAAAGGGGCGGTGTCTGATTTTGGTTTTAACAATGTATTTATGTATTAAATTTTATTCCATGTCTCCTGTCTAGACGTTATAATGATTGAGCCTTCACATTTTATCGTTTTCAAAAGGTTTTCTTTTGGACCCCCCCCCCCTCCTCCTCCAAAAAGTGCAAAATGTGGTCGTTTTTTTTTTTATCATCAATTAAATAATTTTTATGATTGCTTCCATTTTTAAAGTGAAGCTTAATATCCTGTAGAGATACTAGGTGACAAAATATTTAGAGCGATTCACTGCATTGAGATGGCAATACATATAATAATTTTTCATTGTTTATAATGATATCTATGACTAGAGTAAGTATAAATTCCATTTCACCATTGGTTTGTCTAAATTAAAAATAATAAATACAATGCCGTTCAATTAATTTACTGTTCAATGCCGTTCAATTAATTTACTGTTCAATCACGAAATTTGCATACGTTCACGTTTACGTATAACTAAATCATGTTAGTGACGTTGACGTCAAATAGAACGTGTACATCAATGTTACGCGTACACGTTGTTACGTCACTTGTAACTAAACCTCTCTATTTTTATTAACTACATGTAGTTATAAAATATCATGGGTTTTATGAGCGCTGAATACTAGTACAATGTTAAAAACATTTTAAATGTACACAAGGAAAACGTGTAAAACGTCGAGAAAAGTGAATGTACGAGTAAGTTTATGCTTTTTCACCATACATGTAACTTACCATGCTTTGTCATAAACACTCAGGAAATAATTAAAATGTTAAAAATATTCCCACCTGAAAACATTTTTCATACCAGGCTGAAAATCTGCCGTATTTATATCAATTTCTTTACACAAGTTAAATTTGGGATAGCTACCTCGTATTGACAGATTTTAAATCCCACTTAAATTTATTCTAAGCTTTCAAGTCGTGTTTGTTCAAGGTAGAATTGTCATTTATGTTGTTTCATTCCAAGATATGCATAAAGTTTACAAAAAGTTTGTTCTTAAAAAATCTTTTAAGCAGAAAAGTTTAAAACCACGTGTTTTATTAATTTTCAGATGGGTTTGTCTAAATGTCGTTATCTGATTGGTCAGAAGGGCTAGCACTTTGTTAATTTTGTGTATTTATAGCAATTCACGATTATACCTCTTGACTTCCTTATCAGGAAATCGTCCAGACCTGTTGAATTATAGAGATTATCCAAGAAACCGGTTTCAATTTCATTTAATATAAACGTTATTTTATGTAACTACATAGTACTAGTTATAAATTGCCTTTCCAAAGCCGCTTTATAAACTGACAAGAGTTTGGTCAATGCCACTATAAAACAGCCTGTTGAAGGTAGTAAAGCTTTACAAAAAATCGTGTAATCTTATAAAGATTATAAATTCTGCAAGAGAACTGTTTTGCAAGCACAAAGAACAAATAAATACAGGGAAATGTTTGCCTCTGCAATCCAGCAAACAATACTTTCCCGTCTAAAACTCTTCAAGACTCAGTTCTGTTCAAGAAAATATACTGTATACTTTGAATTCATCCAGTTTTAAATTTGCCAAACGGATGTTGTGGTGAAAATAAAACGGGGACAATAATTCCCGTATATATAGTACATGTATACAAATTTTTGTGCGTTCAGATCAAGTATGATATATTTCATTTGAACGAACAAGTTTCAGTGGATTTTTTAATTTCTGCCAATTTTGTAACGAGAGAAATTAAGGTCGACTTTAGAAAAATATTCCTTCTAGAGACGATATTATAAACTAAAAAATTTCCACTTGGCACCAAATGATAACCCGAATACGTAATACATGTACGTATTAAATTTTTAAACGTATAAGTTGGTTCTGTCATTTTTTACTTCCGTGGCATAAATATGTTTTGTACGAAAGCCAAATGAGCTCGTTTTCGTAGGTAAGAAAAATATTTTTTTTTCGCGTTATAACGCAAAAACTTTCGCGAATAAACGCGTAACTTTCGCGAAATTTTCACGAATAAACGCGTAACTTTCGCGTTATAACGCGAAACTTTCGCAAATAAACGCGTAGATTTCGCGAATAAACGCGTAACTTTGGCGTTATAACGCGAAACTTTCGCGAATAAACGCGTAACTTTCGCGATAAAATGCGAAACTTTCGTGTTATAACGCGTAACTTTCGCGTTTTAACGCGAAACTTTCGCGAATAAACGCGAAACTTCCGCGAATAAACGCGTAACTTTCGCGTTATTTCGCGAAAAAATATGATGCTAGAATAGGGTAGATTAGTCATCAGAATTTTATTTCATTTTAAAACCTTACTATTGAATTAATAAAATGAATTTTACTTTCTTGTACATGTTTTTCAATTGTTGAATTCTTTAGACTGATTATTTCTTAAAGAAAGTCTCCACTTGACATTTTTTCTAGCTGTTTTTAATCAGTAACATTTACTACAACTCTACCACTAGTAAATAAAGCAATCATTTTTGACAAAAAATTAAACACTGTAGAAACATGACTTAAAAGTGAATGAACGATGTATAATTTCATTGTCTCCAATCCCTGTGGGGATCCGGATTAGAATAGGTCCCCAGTAACCTCTTGCTGTCGTAAAAGGCGACTAAATGGGGCGGTCCTTCGGATGAGACCGTATAAACCGAGGCCCCGTGTCACAACAGGTGTGGCACGATAAAGATCCCTCCCTGCTCAATGGCCCTGAGTGCCGAGCATAGGCCTTAATTTGCAGCCCTTCACCGGCAATGGTGACGTCTACATATCAGTGAAATATTCTGGAGAGGGACGTTAAAAAGTATACAATCAATCAATCAATCAATCATTGTCTCCAATATTGGGTTATAGAGAAGTTCGTGGACTAGCCATAAATAAAAACTATGAAGGTATACAGCATAGTTTGTACACTTTGAATTGTCAATGTTTTCGTAAGCAATGGAATGAAAACGTGGTGCAACCTCAAAATAGGATATCTAATTTCCACAGTAAATCCAAAGGAGACAAATGAAAATTTGCTATTCAATTTTCACAAATGCAGTGGGACACAATTGACAAATTTACCTCATTTTGTCATTTTTCTGAGATCTTGATCTCTATAGAATAAAAATATTTCAAATTCTCTAGAGAGTGCATAAAAAAACGGAAAGGGGTGATTTTCCCCGAAATTAATAAGCTTGAAGTTTAACTTTTGGAACTCGCATAAACTTTGAATTGGTTGAACAGCGTTGAGAAAGACAAATTGTGACGGTTAAGATGGATTCAATAGACAAAAAACTTAAAATTTAACTTGTGATAGTCCAAGATCAAAATAGCCTTTTGATTTTCATTGTAATGAATAAAATTGATGACAAAATCAAAAGAACGTTGAGATTAAAGCAAATGTCTGGTTAAACAGCAAAAGTTTCGCGTTATAACGCGTAAGTTACGCGTTATATCGCGAAAGTTTCGCGTTATAACGCGAAAGTAACGCGTTTATTCTCGAAAGTAACGCGTTTCTTCGCGAAAGTTTCGCGTTATATCGCGAAAATTTGGCGTTATAACGCGAAAGTTTTCGCGTTATTACGCGAAAGTTACGCGTTTATTCGCGAAAGTTTCGCGTTATAACGCGAAAAATTTATTTTTCTTACCTAGGAAATTGAGCTCATTGGGCTTTCGTAGTTTTGCGAATGCAAAATGAAAATGAAATTATTTTTTCCTCTCTCTTTATTTTCAGAAAATGTATTGTTAACGCTAGTAATATACTCTATAGTAGGCTTTGTGAATTAAGGAGTGTTTGGTTTTTATAAATTGAAAGCTATATCTCTTAAAATATATCAAACTTTATTTGATTAACAATAATCGCTATTTTACTTTTTTTCTTGCGGAAATGTAATGAAGAATGAGTCAGTTGAAAAGTAAATCGACGAGAAGATATTCAGACATGCGCAGAAGCTGTAGAAGAATTGCTACGCTAAAAGACAGCTGTATGTAAGTAATAATACATAATTTTTATCATATTATGTTTATTTAAATTAGGAAGAGGTACCTAGTGTTGATGAAAATTAATAGAAATATAGCATTCATTTCAACCATTTGTACTAAGCTTAAGTGTGAATTAGTGCATTCTTAGGGTAATTTACAAGTCATAATAATTTATAGAAATTTATATGTGTATTATAATGTGTACCTGTATTACATAGATATGTCATTTATCCAGCTATGATGGACAATAATGATATAAATATGTAATTTTTAAAACAAATAGAATGGTTGGATATTTTCTCTCCAAAACTTTAAAAAACATTTACACTAATGACATAATGAAAACGAAACCAAAATTCCCTTGTATTTATTTTCAGAAACATATCATTTACAGCAGCTAAACAAGTATGGTGAGTTGTGTATATAATTTATTGCATTTTTTAGGAATTTTCGACATAAGTAAAAAATATAGTCACAAACTATTCAGACTATGCTCCGGATAAATTTTTCATAATGATTTTCAATCAACAACTAGTGCTAATTGTAACGGGAACCGTTACAGATGTTCCCCAAACGCTCTCCAACTCCCTTTTGGTGCCATATTCCATGTAAGCCTTATTAAATAAGACAACATCTGTGCATTTTTTATTTTAACAACGTTTTCCCAAAAGGATACCAATTATATTCAAATTTTAACATTGCATGCGTGCCCATGTGAATGCATTGCATAATGATCATATAATCTTGTCTACACTTTCTATATATTTAAATATACTTTATATTAAAGCATTTAGTCCAAAAGTATTAAAAATCACTCATTCAAGTGCATTTTTAATTTCACTCATTCCAAATGCACGTGCGTGCACGTGCATGATGACCATACCTTCTTGTTAGAGACCCTTATATCTATCTATGTTCTAAATCTCATCCTGTTTGGTTGAAAACCAAGGGAATTATAACCATTTCAAGTTTCAGCCAATCAGATTGCAGCACATGTGCATCCATGTGATTTCAAGAATTTTTTTCGAAATCATATTGTAGAATATCCTAATGCATGACTATGTTTTAAATTTCAAAGCATTTCGTCAAAAAACAAAGGAGATATAGCCATTTAAAGTTTCAGCCAATCAGATTGCAGCGCACGTGCATGCGCGTGATTTCATGAAATTTTTTCCATATCATGTTGTAGGATATCCTAATTCATGACAATGTTAAAAATTTCAAAACATTTCGTTGGAAAACAAAAGAGATATTGAGAGTTTTGTTTCAGCCAATCAGAGCAAGGCGCACGTGCATGCGCGTGAGTTCGTGCTAATTTGACAGTGTCATATTATTAACACTATTAATATATCCTTATGTAATGAGTTTCAAAGCATTTCATCAAAAAATGTAAAAGTTATAGCTATATTAAGTATATCAGTCAATTCACTCATTTCACGCGCACGCACGTGCAGGCGTATGCGCGCAAAATGACCTTCGTTCCGCACACCTACACTACACACCTATTAACCCTAAAAAGGTTTTAGGTCAGTTGGGTGAACAGTTTCTGAGAACACTCGCGGACAAAAAAGTACCGGAGAACAAATAAGAAAAAAAATAATAACTAGTGCTAATTGTAACGGGAACCGTTACAGATGTTCCCCAAACGCTCCCCAACTCCTCCCTTTCGGTGCCATATTCCCTGTAAGCTTCATTAAATAAGACAAACTCTGTGCATTTTGACTTTAACAACGTTTTTGCAGAAGGATGCCAATTATATTCATTTTTTAGCATTGCACCCAAGTGCATGTGAATGCATGTGCGTTATGACCATATCATCTTGTCTTTCAAGAGTATTTTTAAATATACTCATTTCAAATGCACGCACGTGCGTGCACGTGCATGATGATCATACCTTCTTGTAGGAGTCCCTTACATCTATCTATGTTCTAAATCCCATCCTGTTTGGTTGAAAAACAAGGGAGTTATAGCCATTTAAAGTTTCAACCAATCAGATTGCAGCACACGTGCATGCGCGTAATTTCATGATTTTTTTATATCATTTTGTAGGATATCCTAATGCATGACTATATTTTAAATTTCAAAGAATTTCGTCAAAAAACAAAGGAGAAATAGCAATTTAAAGTTTCAGCCAATCAAATTGCAGCACACGTGCATGCGCGTGATTTCATGATTTTTTTTTCTCTATCGTTTTGTAGGATATCCCAATGCATGACTATATTTTGAATTTCAAAGAATTTCGTCAAAAAACAAAGGAGATATAGCCATTTAAAGTTTCAGCCAATCAGCTTGCAGCACACGCACATGCGCATGCTTTCATGAAAATTCTTATATATCATGCGGTAGATCAATATAATGTAGGACTATGTTCAAAATTTCAAAGGTTTATGACAAGAAACAAGAAAGTTATTGAGACTTTAGTTTCAGCCAATCAGAGCGTAGCGCACGTGCATGCGCGTGAGATCTTGCTATTTTGACCATGCTATCTTGTTTATACTACTAATGTATCCTTACATTATGAGTTTCAAAAAATTTCATCAAAAAATAGAAAAGTTACGGCAATATCCATTATATTGGTAATTTCACCTATTGCACGTGCGCGCTCTTGCAAGCACGTGCGCGCAAAATGACCTTTGTTTGGCAACTCTACATAACATGCCTACTAACCCTAAAAAGGTTTCACCTAAGTCGGATGTGTAGTTTACAAGATCACTCGTGGACAAAATTTTCCCAGGAAGAAGAAAAATAATAATAATAATAATAATAATAATAATAATAATAAGAAACAGAGTAAAAACAATATGTTCCCCAACTTCGTTTGGGGAACATAACTAGAAAGTCTGCTATTGCAAGCAATAGCATATGTCGCCCCGTATTAGACAAGACTTTCATTTTTATCATCACTAAAACAAAAGTCCATAAGCTAAGTTTGAACAACCATTGAGTTATATCAGTCCTTTCCATTGGAAACGGAAGACCTTAATTCGGTACATCCCACTCATTATTTTTAGAATCGGTAGGAGAAGAAAGTAGTGCAGGAAAATTACAAGTTCCTCAATTTGCAGACTTGCATAAAAGAAATCTGGCAGATGTACTGAACTGAGCCTCATACTTGTTAATTGGCAGTATCTTTCCTATGATAAAAGCTTGGGAAATGTAATTCCTTGTTATGAAGAAGATCAGCCGAATTATTTTGTGTATTGTAACGCCAGTGAGAACTCTGAAATTTCCCTCTTTCACTTTCATTTTAGAGGTTCTACCGAAAAACGAATCTGACATGCCACCATCAATTCGAGCATTTCTGCATTGCAGAGAGCTGATGTGTGTTATGAGATAATAAATCATGTGTGAACTTTCTCAGTTTAGCGGAATCATGAACATTTTCGGCGAGATGAATGTTTTGTATACAGTGGTGATCAAGGCTTTGCGAACCATCAGGAGCGGATCAAAGAATTTATGAATGAATAAAAACTATGGAAATGACGTACCAGTTTTTTAATTTATACTTGCACTATCTAATGAAATGAATAATATACAAGTGATAGATATACAAGAAAACGCGAAATGATAATAAATGCAGCTGACAATCGTTATTTTTTTTTTTATATAGATAAAATAAAATATTTATAAATTCAAGAGACAAAACAGAAGGAGAATGAATGATGGCAAAATATCACATGACGGGAACTGAATTTTATGAATGAAGATTTTAAAAAGTTACTTGTAAGTTGTATATGTTATATCTGTGTATTCTACTTGGCTGTGTGCTTCATAAAAAAGAGGGGGGGGGGGTGTGCTTCATAAAAAAGAGGGGGGGGGGGGCGTCTTGAACATAGTAAATAGCCATAACGTTTGAACGGTAAGTACTAGGGCTTTCGTATTTCAAATATGTAATCCTTGTGAAAAGAACTTTTATTGGATACGACGAACTTTGACCCTTTGACCTAGACCTTGGAGAACACATGTGTACATCTGAATCTTTTTTTCTGTTTCGTTTCTATGGCAACCGTGAGCGACTCATTACAATTATTTTGAAAGTAGAAATCACTTTGACACATTGCAAGGAATAAACATTGAAAGTTTCAAAACGATTGCCTGAGTAGTTATTGAGAAAATCGAAATTAAAGAATTTTAACTTTCACCTGGTTTCCATGGCAATAATCGATTATATGAAAATTTTAAATACGAGTTGCAGAACTACAGATACTAATCATTAAAATAAGAAAAGTTTCATGACGAACGTTTAAGGGACCAGAGAGAACACTCTCGGACAAAATTTGTCGCTTTTTACAGGTTTCCATGGCAACGGTAGACATATTGGAACTGAACGACCTCACTGCACAACTACAACCAGTGATCGTCGTTGAAGGAAAGTTTCAGGAAGATTGTCCCAGCCATCTCCGAGAAACAGCCTGGATAAAAAAAACATGCGTACAATATCAATATGTCGTCCCCGACTTCGTTCGGGGCGACATAATAACTCCTGAATTTTTCTCATCAATAACTCCTGAATTTTCCCCTTCAATTCGAGCATTTCTGCATTGCAGAGAGCTGATGTGTGTTATGAGATAATAAATCATGTGTGAACTTTCTCAGTTTAGCGGAATCATGAACATTTTCGGCGAGATGAATGTTTTGTATACAGTGGTGATCAAGGCTTTGCGAACCATCAGGAGCGGATCAAAGAATTTATGAATGAATAAAAACTATGGAAATGACGTACCAGTTTTTTAATTTATACTTGCACTATTTAATGAAATGAATAATATACAAGTGATAGATATACAAGAAAACGCGAAATGATAATAAATGCAGCTGACAATCGTTATTTTTTTTTTATATAGATAAAATAAAATATTTATAAATTCAAGAGACAAAACAGAAGGAGAATGAATGATGGCAAAATATCACATGACGGGAACTGAATTTTATGAATGAAGATTTTAAAAAGTTACTTGTAAGTTGTATATATTATATCTGTGTATTCTACTTGGCTGTGTGCTTCATAAAAAGAGGGGGGGGGGCGTCTTGAACATAGTAAATAGCCATAACGTTTGAACGGTAAGTACTAGGGCTTTCGTATTTCAAATATGTAATCCTTGTGAAAAGAACTTTTATTGGATACGACGAACTTTGACCCTTTGACCTAGACCTTGGAGAACACATGTGTACATCTGAATCTTTTTTTCTGTTTCGTTTCTATGGCAACCGTGAGCGACTCATTACAATTATTTTGAAAGTAGAAATCACTTTGACACATTGCAAGGAATAAACATTGAAAGTTTCAAAACGATTGCCTGAGTAGTTATTGAGAAAATCGAAATTAAAGAATTTTAACTTTCACCTGGTTTCCATGGCAATAATCGATTATATGAAAATTTTAAATACGAGTTGCAGAACTACAGATACTAATCATTAAAATAAGAAAAGTTTCATGACGAACGTTTAAGGGACCAGAGAGAACACTCTCGGACAAAATTTGTCGCTTTTTACAGGTTTCCATGGCAACGGTAGACATATTGGAACTGAACGACCTCACTGCACAACTACAACCAGTGATCGTCGTTGAAGGAAAGTTTCAGGAAGATTGTCCCAGCCATCTCCGAGAAACAGCCTGGATAAAAAAAACATGCGTACAATATCAATATGTCGTCCCCGACTTCGTTCGGGGCGACATAATAACTCCTGAATTTTTCTCATCAATAACTCCTGAATTTTCCCCTTCAATTCGAGCATTTCTGCATTGCAGAGAGCTGATGTGTGTTATGAGATAATAAATCATGTGTGAACTTTCTCAGTTTAGCGGAATCATGAACATTTTCGGCGAGATGAATGTTTTGTATACAGTGGTGATCAAGGCTTTGCGAACCATCAGGAGCGGATCAAAGAATTTATGAATGAATAAAAACTATGGAAATGACGTACCAGTTTTTTAATTTATACTTGCACTATCTAATTAAATGAATAATATACAAGTGATAGATATACAAGAAAACGCCAAATGATAATAAATGCAGCTGACAATCGTTATTTTTTTTTTATATAGATAAAATAAAATATTTATAAATTCAAGAGACAAAACAGAAGGAGAATGAATGATGGCAAAATATCACATGACGGGAACTGAATTTTATGAATGAAGATTTTAAAAAGTTATATATTATATCTTGTAAGTTGTATATATTATATCTGTGTATTCTACTTGGCTGTGTGCATAAAAAAGAGGGGGGGGGGGGGAAACAGCGTCTTGAACATAGTAAATAGCCATAACGTTTGAACGGTAAGTACTAGGGCTTTCGTATTTCAAATATGTAATCCTTGTGAAAAGAACTTTTATTGGATACGACGAACTTTGACCCTTTGACCTAGACCTTGGAGAACACATGTGTACATCTGAATCTTTTTTTCTGTTTCGTTTCTATGGCAACCGTGAGCGACTCATTACAATTATTTTGAAAGTAGAAATCACTTTGACACATTGCAAGGAATAAACATTGAAAGTTTCAAAACGATTGCCTGAGTAGTTATTGAGAAAATCGAAATTAAAGAATTTTAACTTTCACCTGGTTTCCATGGCAATAATCGATTATATGAAAATTTTAAATACGAGTTGCAGAACTACAGATACTAATCATTAAAATAAGAAAAGTTTCATGACGAACGTTTAAGGGACCAGAGAGAACACTCTCGGACAATATTTGTCGCTTTTTACAGGTTTCCATGGCAACGGTAGACATATTGGAACTGAACGACCTCACTGCACAACTACAACCAGTGATCGTCGTTGAAGGAAAGTTTCAGGAAGATTGTCCCAGCCATCTCCGAGAAACAGCCTGGATAAAAAAAACATGCGTACAATATCAATATGTCGTCCCCGACTTCGTTCGGGGCGACATAATAACTAGGGCTAATTGTAACGGGGACCGTTACAGATGTTCCCCAAACGCTCCCCAACTCCCTTTTGGTGCCATATTCCATGTAAGCCTCATTAAATAAGACAAACTCTTCGTACTTTAGTATTTAACAACGTTTTTCCACAAGTATTATAAGTATATTTCAATTTTAGCATTGCACGCGTGCGCATGTGAATGCATGTGCGTAATGACCATATCATCTTGTCTACACTTTCAATGTATTAAAATATACACAATATTTAAGCATTTATTCCAAAAATATTTTTAAAAAAACGCTCATTTGAGTGTATTTCAATTTTTCTCATTTCACGTGCACGCACGTGCATGCATGTGCATAATGACCATACCATCGTGTAGGAGTCTATTATGTCGATCTATGTTCTAAATCCCATTCTGTTTGGTTGAAAACTAAGGAAGTTATAACCATTTAAAGTTGAAGCCAATCAGATTGCAGCGCACGTGCAAGCACGTGATTTGATGAAAAATATTATGTATCATATTGTAGGATATCTTAATGCATGACTATGTTTAAAATATCAAAGCATTTCGTCTAAAAAAAAAAAAGATATTAAGATTTTTGTTTTAGCCAATCAGAGCAAAGTACTCGTGCAAACACGTGCTTGCATGTGCATACTGACCATACCCTCTTGTAGGAGTCTATTATGTCTGTCTATGTTCTAAATCCCAGTCTGTTTGGTTGAAAAACAAGGGAGTTACAGCCATTTAAAGTTTCAGCCAATCAGATTGCAGCGCACGTGCATGCGCGTGTTTTCATGAGAATTGCGATATATCATATTCTAGGACATCCTAAAGTATGCCCATGTCTTAAATTTCACAGCATTTCGTCAAAAAACAGAAAAGATATTGAGATTTTCGTTTCAGCCAATCAGAGCGAAGCGCACGTGCATGCGCGTGAGTTCGTGCTAATTTGACAGTGTCAAATTATCTACACTATCAATATATCATTATATAATGAGTTTCAAATCAATTCATTGAAAAATGTAAAAGTTGTAGCTATATTAAGTATATAAGTCATTTCACAAATATCACGCGCCCGCACGTGCAGGCGTATGCGCGCAAAATGACCTTCGTTCCGCACACCTACACTACACACCTATTAACCCTAAAAAGGTTTTAGCTCAGTTGGGTGAACAGTTTCTGAGAACACTCGCGGACAAAAAAGTACCGGAGAAGAAATAAGAAGAAAAAAGAATAATAATAATAAGAAACAGAGTAAAAACAATATGTTCCCAAACTCCGTTTGGGGAACATAATAAGAAACAGAGTAAAAACAATATGTTCCCAAACTTCGTTTGGGGAACATAATAACTGACAAATACTAAGAATGAAGCTTTTCTTGCAAAAAATGTAATCCAGAATAAATCTAATTGCAAGAATTTTTTTAGGCTTCCTAAAAATGATTTTCATAAAGAGCTGTAGCATCAGATTCAACTTAAGTGAAAAATAGTATGAGATAGGAATCGCTGCTATCTTTTTTTCAGAAATTATTTTTAGTTCAGATCAAAATATGAATAAATTTGAACGAAAAGAATAGGAGGAGAAATAACTCATTATCACAACATTTATTTATAAGTAAGAGGTGCATACGATAATAATATTCAGTGTCATATCTATCAAATTCATATATTAGAAAACAAAATGAAGCGCTACTTCCCAAGACAGATAATGACAATGCTATCTGTGGTTGAAAAAAAGAAAAATCTGTTAGCAAAAGTTTTAAATTAAATTTTTTATTAGAAAAAAATTTGATTAGAAAAAAGAAGTTTACAAATATAATTAGATACATTAAACCAATTTTAAAGTGGACCTGAAAACACGGATATTGCGAATTCACGGATATAGCGAGGCCATCTTTGATCCCCGGCTATATAAATTTAACGAATTCCAAATATGGATATAAAGAATTACAGATATAGCAAAGTATTTTCATAGGTCCCAGTGACTTTATTATAACCGAGTTTTACTATATAATGAATTTTACATCCACCTTATTTGCATGTACATTGATGTAAAAACGAATATTTATCCTTAATATTTCCTTTAGGAAGTTTTCCGATTTTTACGATCTGATGAAGATCTTAAGAAAGGCCTTTCTGCGAAAGACCCAGATGCCAACGTCAGTGTAGAGAAGCATGTGGTATCAGGAACGGATGATGGATTTAAGTCGCAGTTTATTTCGTGTTGCAAGACACTTAAAGCTGCTCTTATATTTGCCAAGAAAAGTCATACATATCCAAAACGGATTGTAAAGATAAAGATACGCCCATCTATCAACATATTGGACCTTACAATTCCAGACAATCAAATGAAATATTTTCCATTTAACCAAAAAGCCAAAAATTATGCCAACAAATTTAAAGAGGTTCTGATCCTAGGCGATGTTCCTCCAAATTCGCTTGCCCCACCCGACGGTTGGTCCAGCGTTCATATTCCAGACGCAGCTTGGCTCCTTGTAGAAGGACTGTGATATAAATGCAATATTCGGTAATACTTTCATTTCCAACCATTTTCTATGCATGTGATTTCTCTTTAAATACCCCTCTTTAAGGGGAGGTCATGTCTGAGACATTTTTATCCAATTTCTTATTGATTTTTAAACCCATTTTGACTTTGTCACTCGTATACTGCATTGTGACCGAACTTGTAATTTCCCGGACTTGTTTCCTTTTTTCTGAAGGTCCTTTTTTATAGTTTGAAAAAATGAACAGGTCGAGGGGTGAAAAGAACTGGCGAATATAGTTGATGTGACAGAATATTAACTTTCTATTTATCCCAAAACTCTTTATCTATTCTTGACATGTGGGTTTGAATGTTGTCGTGAAGATAATCAATGTAGCAGATTCCTGATTTTGGCGCCTTCCTCTCATAAACTCTTTGAATTTTTACAAAATTGTGCTTTCTAGACTCGTCAAGAAATTAAACGAATAAGAGTTTGAACGATTAGATTCCATATTTGAGAATTGAATTGAGTGCCAAGTCAAATGGTTCTTTAAAATAGTGTGGCCTATCCCAAAAATATGCATACCAGATGTTCTAATATGCATTTTAAAATCAATCAAATATCATCAGTGATATTTTGTTGAATTTGGCAAACATTACATCGATTCTTGATATTTCTGGTCACCAATGACGGTAATCATCTTTGATGCCTATCTTATCATTTTGTTCATTGAATATCCACCTGTACATGTGTCTATAAAACAAACATTGGTTGTTGTAAACATCACAGTGAATATTTCTTTGGGATTATTACTAAGTTTTACAACAGTTTTAATAAAACTTCTAACTCCTCCCTTGTTACTGATTCTTTACCATTCATTTTAATGCAGTATCTCTAATAATCCTTGTTTTCCAGCTTCTCACAATAAAACAATATAACGGTACTTGGTCACACAAACGGTTAGTGGGATCAGTTGATTAAAGCTTCAATAATGAGAGAAAGCCACTGTTAATGTTATATGATTTTTATCTTGTATGTTACAGAGTTCAAAACATAATTTTCAACAGCCCTCGTATATAAGCTCTTAGTAATTGTTGTTAGTGAACTAAAATTGATTTTAATTTTGATTATTTTTTAATACATACATCCTCAAAATAAAGTAATGATGTATTCAGTGTATAAAAGAATATGAAGATGTCACATTGTTTATAAGAATTTCACCAAATTTTTACACTCATATGACATCTTCATATTCTTTTATGCACTGAATACATCATTACTTTATTTTGAGGATGAATAATAACTGATTTTGTTATTTTTTGTTTTTTGATTTTTGTTTTTTTTTTTTTTTTGTATTTTTAAATTGTTTTTGAAATACATGTACTTTGTGCTGGAAAAAAATAGTTTTTATATGTTTAATTGTAACTATGAATATACGACAGTTTTACTGAAAGTGTAAAGTCGAATATTTCTGTGGTCTTCATCCAACCATTTGTACTTTTTTATGTATATATTAGAAGTCTTAAAAGGAGTACTAATATATGTAATTAGATTTTGAAATTCTCGATTTTTTTATGCCCTTTAGTAAAAGAATTCCACCAAAACTTCTAGAACTTGAGGCTAGTTTGATTATATAGTGCCATTGGTATTACACTGAAAGGGCTGTTTAAATGAAATACCAGTATTTATATAACGATTTATATTTATATAACGATGTATCATTATTGTTAAAACTGATTTATTTAATTCATTTTTCATTTTGCATTCATTTCATGCTTTGTAAATCTAGAAAAGATTAAATGAGATGTATTAATATTGACCTACACTAGTAAATTTCAAGTAAATTTGAAAAAGACTGTTACAGGTTTAGTAAGGATAATTTATTTAAACATTTTTATCTGAGAAAATGCTTCAGTAGTGACGAAAGACTTAATTTTATAATCATTTTATTATTTTCATATCTATTGATTGTTAAATTATTATTGAAAGTTAAATAAAATATTAAAAAAACAAAACGAATAAGATTTTATCAAGTAAGTAATAGTAAAGTAATGCCTGAGAAAAAAAATGAAGATAATAACTTTTGTTATATAAAAGTGCATATTATTATTGATGTTTAAAAACTGCGTGATGACTATGGATTAAAGAGGCTGGGGGTGGCAGCAATTTTGAGACTATTTCAATCTCCTTTAAAAGGAGAGCTCCATATAAAGATATACAAAAATGTTCAAACTTTAAAAGTAAAATGTATTGATTTTTTCTTTGCCATATGATAGTTGACAGTTAAAGATACCGTATCCTAAAATCTAAGTTAAATCTGGTGGTTAGTTTTGGATTAATTTGTTGACCCACCAGCCTCCTTAAAAAAAATAATGAAAGTGTACGACTTGTAAGCTTATTGACCTAAGATTCTTTTGCATTGAATAATTGTTCAATTTTAATTAAGCCCATCTAGAATGAGATTTACCACTTCACGCACCAGGGTGCCAAACTATGGAACATTATATAACCTTATGTGAAAAGCTCTTATTATGATGAGTTCCACGGTTTTGCATTATATATCGTGGATATTTCATTATTCGTTATGATGAAATGGGATATGCTGAGGGTTTTTCATGATGATGATGATGTTTTTACATTAAATGCAGTGGTTTCTTCATTATGATATGGTTCTGTATTATGTGCTGTGGGTATGTCATAATAATGAAGTGTTTATACATTACATGCCATGACTTCTTCATTATGATGTACTTTTGCATTAAATGTTAGAGGAATATAATGCAAAACACCACCTCATACATAATGAAGTACCCACAGCATATAATTAAATACTAGTATGCACCTCATTATTATTATGAAATACCCATAGCATTAAATGTAAAACATCAATCATAAATGTAGTGCGCAAAGCATATAATGAAAAACCAAATCATCTTAATTAAAATGATTTTACACCTCATTGTAAAGAAGTACCAACAATAGATAAGCTTCTCATTATGGCGAAGAATCACTGCATATAATACAAAAGCCTTCTCAATATAATTAAATACCCACAACATATAATACAAAAGCCCATCATAAGAAAGAACAACATTAAATCTAAAAACATCTCATTATATTGAAAAAAAAAACTCAAAACAATGCAAAATCACCTCATTATAATGAAGTACCTCAACTATAGCACATGTTACAAATCACCTCATTATAACGAAGGAATCACAACATAAAGACTTTTTGTAAAAACCACGTCATAATTATGAAGTACTCACTGCATATGATGTAAAACTACTTCAGCATAATGAAATACCACCTCATTATAATGAAGGCCCATCACAAAAGGCAACTATGGCGTTCCATAAAACTTTTTAGAATAATAAAATTCAGCATTTACATACTACCTTTTTATACTCAATTTGTATCTTGAACAATAATATTATGCATGTTAAAATGGTTCGGTTTTCATATTAATTTTTAATAGAAAACTGATTTGAAATAATATTCAAATGTTTATGTAGATCTATTGAGTTATTTATAGACCACCGGCCCCCTGAAAATTTTCACATTATAAAAAATAAATGAATAAATATTAACAAATAAATTAAAACAAAAGATTTGATACTTTTTGTTTCTATTTTCCAAATAAATGTTTATTCCACGAATGGAAATTGAAAACGAAAATAACATTCCATATCGTTTATTTTTAGAAGAATAATTTTTAAACCGTCTATTCCGCAATGGTAAGTTAGAATCTCTGGTATATTATTTCCAATGAAAATAGAGATCTAATTACTTTGAATTTACTTGAATAATTTTGGTTATCCACATGAAGGAGTTTAAGAACTGAATTATTTAATTAAATTTGCTTGTCAACGGTTAATACGAAAGTTTGTTTTGAAATTACGCAATCCAGAACGAAAATGGCAAATTATCAATAACCCATAAAGATTTATTATGAAAGCATAAAATTACTACATGTTAAGACACATATTTTAATCCTCTTTTGTAACTAAACATATTTATTACACAAAGTGTCTTCTTTTGCTGATTCTGTCCAGTGTAAATATACGGTAAATCAAAATCATTTCCGATGACTAGAATTATTGTAAAACTGAATTTGAAAAATGACATTCTTTGAAAAGGAACTGTGATTATTGTTTGAATAACCAAGTATGGAATAAAATGCAATTGTAATGATGAGTTTTTCGAACAATGACTACATTGAAACATTGCTATAAAATTATTCATGTAGTCTTTCGTTAAAAAATCAAATACTACTACTACTACTACTACTACTACTACTAATAATAATAATAATGATAATAATAAAATTGGAGAAAGATTTGAATAAAATGTTATTTTTTTCAACTACACAACTACCACAGTTTCTTTGGTTTCTCGTCATATTCTATTCGTTCATTTATGTTTGTCTTTCAAAAAGACCAATCATATGTCCCCCTTCCTCAAGCTTACTGAATTTTTATTTTGATTTTGTAAAAGTTTTATTTTCCCAATTTCTAAAGAATCCTTTGTGTTTTACTTGATTTGTATTTTTGTAAATTTCTCGAATCCATCCCACAGGAAGTTTACTTCAGATTATTACGACCTGATGAAGATCCTAGCAAAGGTCTTTTTGCCAAAGACCGCCGTTCCTACGTCAACATTGAAGAACATGTGACTTTTGGATCGAAAGCAGGACACGCTTCACGCTTCATTTCATGTTGCAAAACAATCAGAGCAGTTGAAGATTTTGCTGTTAAGAGTATTCACTATCCAAAAAGGGTTGTAATGATAACAAAATTATATCCCGCAATGAAAGCAATTGATTTAACAGACCCAAAAATGCAAGAGACGATTTTCCATCCACTCAACGAAAGAGGAAAATATTATGCAACCCGTTTTCAGGAGGTTTTGTTTCTTGATTATATTCCTCCAGAATGCCTCACCATACTTTATGGTTAGATCTGCAATGCAGTACGGGGATTTATTGACAGAGATACTCTGTTCGAAAGATATTTTTAGTTTACCATGTTGACTCCCTGTGTACCTTAATGATGCATGTATTGATAGCTCTTCAATCTTTGATTTACAGTGTGCTACTTTTCTGCTTTTGAAATAATGGTTTATTTATTTATTTGTTAAATACAAAAGTCATACAAACAAATATGAACGAAATCAACAATTTGAGTGTTAGGTGAAATGTTTTAATTATATGATTCCAAACATTAGTCAAAACATGCTACCAGTAGTTTTTCCTCATTGTGATATGTACATGTGCGTTTGCTGTGTTATATACCCCTCCTTAAAATATTGGAGACACCTGTTTATTTCATTCAGTGTGTGTAGATTGTTGCTGATGACACTCCACTTGCTTGTATATATTACATATACTTTTATTTAATGACTACAAGGGAAACAATCAAACTGTTGTTCCAAGGAAGTGGGAATTAAAGACCTGGGCATCAAGTTTCCAAGTCTTTCCCACTACCGAGGGA